ATCTATTACATTTCTATCTCTCAATCTGCCTCCATTTGTCCATCCATCTAGCTATCACCTATTTATCATCTATCTATGTATTATGATTCATCTATAATCTTTGTTCCTCTGTCTTCTGCATATATTCTCTACCTCTGTCAGGCTTGGAAATAGTTACATCCCAGTGGCCATGTTCTCATATTTGTCCCCTAAAAGATGCTAGCATTTCTTGGGAAATGGGTATTCTAAGGACTGGGACAAAAAAAGTGCACAACAAATTGTAGATTCAGAAAGCAGAAAAGAAATAAAGATGACCTATACACACTTGTTTGTATCAACATATTATGGCTCCATATACATTTTGGAGGCAAGGCATTCAAGCCCATGTCATTAATTTTAATCTGACATTACAGTGTTCATTCTGGTTTCTCTATTTCCATGTTTCTAATTCCTTTGATGGATAGTGAGGATCCTGGCTCCTCTAGTGGCAACTATGTATCCTTTTTTGGTCAACCTCCCCCACAGGAAATCATGCTCTAGTCACTGCCTCTGTCCTCTTTATGCTTCTCCACTGTACCTGGGTCCTCTCACTGCCAGCAAACTTCTCGTCCTGCTGGAGATATGCTTCCCTCACTGGATCACTGTGGCTCCCCCAGTCCCAGTGTGGACACTCAGCTTGCTAGAAGCTACCTACACTTCTGGACTGAATTTTACAGGCAAGGAAGGAAAAGAAAAAGAGAACAGAATTGGACAGCCCAATAGAAAAGAATCCCTAGAGAAATTAAAGAACACAAATGCCATGGGCCCAATATGGAATTGGAAATGACTCAGTGGGTAGACACCCCAAGATGTTGAGAATTTAGGGGACTGGTATGCAAATGAGGTTCACTGGTAGTATGAAATAATTAAAATATTAGTGAAAAGGCTGAATGTTTAAAAACTGATTTTCTCAAAATTCTCAAGTAGTTCCTAAATATACAGGTGTGAAAGCAATATATTAGGCCTTTCTCCAAACAAATAAGAAGTCATGGCTCATTGGGTTAGTATTTGAATCTTTTGACACTGCATTTGCTTGAAGGTTGTTTATGATAATATTTAGAATGGTGTTGAGAGCAATCCTGCTGCTATGAAAATTTAAATTTTGTTTATTTCTTCTTTTGTAATTAATTTGTCAACCGTAACAGTCCTGAGATCACAGTGTGGAGAGCTTTGTATTTATTACCCTTCTAAAATATAGTATGCAGAAGTGTTCTGCAAACCTCTGTGACCTTGAATCCCTGGGAAACCTTGTGATGATAGATTTGTATATGAGTTTGTTGTGGTTTTTACCTTTGACAGAATCTAAATTGCCTTAAACTTCTCTGATTTATATTTGGGTTTAAAACATGTCTAAAATTAATTTTAAAATTTGCCAGTGCACTCTCATGAAACCACTAAATTAGACCAATCAAAAGACAGCATAAAAATATCCTACAATCTATGTCTTTGATTTGAATGTGGATGTATATTTGTGTTGATATAGCTGATCTCCATCACTGGATTCTCATGAGCTTGCCATAGTAAATGAATAGAGCTCCTAAAATTAGCTATAGGGCATTAAGCCTACTCAGGCAACTGTTCTCTTTAAAAATATAACTATGGCTTCAAATACAAAAAATATAAATCCACAAACATTATTCAGTCTTCTTTATAGTTGCATTTCATATGAGTCATACAAAATAAAAATAGTACTTGATATCCAGGATTTTTGAAGAACAGATTCTAATTCTCCAGTATACCAGAGACAGGCTAGGATCAGAACATAGCTTTGATTTCTGCAGCACACATATTTTTCCACTACACTTTCTGTAATGCTTTCTTCTTTGCTCCTCAAAGCAGCATGATAATTATTTTTAAAAATCATGGCGTGTTTGTCTTGAGATTAATATACTTGTCTCCCATTGAACCTGCCATTGGACAAATAATCCTAACCTTTATTACCCAGGAGAATAAAAAAGGAGTTAGATGAGATCAAAGGTCCTTAGCATCTTCAATTCAATGGCTGTCTTTTGCAATCTGGTCAAGCCTATGTCCCATCTAGGAATATCTTTTTAAATTTATAAAATAAAATAAAAGCAAATAAGACTATAAATAAAACTACTTACATTAAAATTCAGTTATCAAAGTATTGAAAAGTAAATTTTATAAAATCATTAAATAAAAGCTCTAGTAGTGAAGCCATAATTACTGCAATTTTAATGTGGTAACTGTAAATAGCACTTTGAGGTATCTGCAATAACTTTAATTGATTTTAAATTATCTACCTTTTTTTTAAAGATTTATTTATTTATTTGAAAATCAGAGTTATACAGAGAGAGAGAGAGAGAGAGAGAGAGGTCTTCCATCCACTGGCTCACTCCCCAAATGGCCGCAACGGTTGGAGTTGCGCCAATCTGAAGTAAGTAGCCAGGAGCTTTTTCCAGGTCTCCCATGTGAGTGCAGGGGCCCAAGGACTTGGGCCATCTTCTACTGCTTTCCCAGGCCATAGCAGAGAGCTGGATCGGGAGTGGAGCAGCTGGGACTCGAACTGGTGCCCATATGGGATGCCAGCACTCCAGGTGGTGGCATTACCCACTACGCCACAGCGCCAGCCCCCAATTTTCTACCATTTTTATTGGGACAAAGTCACAGATATTTCTAATAACATTATGGTTTAATGTCTACGTTCATTACTAATGGAGCTGATAAATTTCAATTATAATTACAGAAAATAAAAATATATTTTTTCTACTATCTAGATTTACAAATGTGTGGAATTCAATACATTAGATTATCTCAATGAAATCTTCCAATAACTGTATTCCAGTACTTTATAAATAATCCTGGTAGTTACGTAGGGTGGCATGGGCATATGAAGGTCCTTCAGAGATGGAAAAACAGAATTTAAAGATGAGTTGACTTTGCAGTAAAAATGTTGAAATTCATGCAGTTTTTCCATAATGTTCATTTTCCATGAAGGTTGGAAGACCCTTTATATGCATGCATCTCAAAATTTTCACATCAAATGAAGTTATCTTTTTAAAGATTTATTTTATTTATTTTAAAAGGCAGAGTTATGGAGAGAGAGAGGAGACACAGAGATCTTCCATTCGCTGGTTCACTCCCCAGATGGCTGCAACAGCTGGGGCTGAGTCAGGCTGAAGCCAGGAGCTAGGAGCTTCTTCTGGGTCTCAAATCACTTGGCCCATCTTCTGTTTTCCCAGGCCATTATCAGCTGGGTCAGAAGAAGAGCAGCTGGGACTGGAACAGGTGCCCATAACTAATCCCAGCACTGCAGGTGGCAGCTTAACTTGCTACACAACAGTGCCAACCTCATGAACTTATCTTTTAGTGCTATTTTCCCACAAACTTTGTGAAGTGCTCTCATACATCTGAGATCCGCTGTCCTCAAATAGTCCGTAGACCAACACTGTCAGCGTCACCGTTACCTACCTGGGAGCTTGCTAGAAATGCAGAGTCTCAGGTTCCACCTGAAATCTACTGAATCAGACCTGCATGCTTACAAGATCCCCAAACGATGTTATATATACATTCATCTTTGAGAAGCACTGCTTTAAGTTAAGCTGTGAAACCTGTGTGTGTGCCCTTCTGCTATGATACGATCAAGCACCTGAACATTCCTTAGCTCTATCATGAACTACTTCTATTTTTAAAAAAATTGCCCTTATGCCCGAAGTCTAATAAGTTGGTGACAAGCCCACCAGCAAGAACAGCACTCTTAGACACAAACAGAGATTTCAGTAGAAAATTTAAGTTAGGAGTTACTTAAGAATCAGTGATTGAATTGTGTTGCTTTGGAGAGTTGAAGAGCCCCCAGGAGATAGTTTGAGATTTGGCAGAGTCAATTGACTCTGAAAAGTAGGAGAGGAAAGAAACCAAGTCTGCATAACCAGACAGGGACAAAGCTCCAAATTTAACTTTCTTCAAGATAGGCAAGTGTTTGCTCTAGGGCTTGGTTTGAGTACTCTGTTTGCATGCTGCAGTTAATGTTACTGAGTGTATGAATTTTTCACTGCTCTGGAGCCAGTTGTGTAAGTAAATAAAATGTTTAGCTGTTAGTGTTTTCAAACTGAATTGTGTCTACATGAGGAGAAAAATGGGTTATTGAAATGCCTTGGAGCAAAATTTCTCTAATAGAAATTTCAATGCAGTACACGTTTTTTGAGCACCTCTTTTGCACTAGGAAGTGGAAATTCAGGTATGATTAAGATGCTGGAAACCATATAAGAACTGCCAGCTTATTTTGGGGCTCAGGCAATGTTACTGTTGACTATAGCATTAAGTTCTGTGATAGAAGAAGGAGCAGGAAATTGTAGTGGTATAGGGGTTGCATAGAACTTCAAAAACCTACTTATTCATTCACTCATTAATTCAATTATTTGTTGATTGGTCCATTCATTCATTAATTTACTCAATAATATTGATCAAGTCATCTCCCAGTGTCACACTGGAGGTTTTTTTTTTTTTTTTCATGCACACAAGTCTTTGTGGCTGAGCATAGAATGTTTATATTGGAAGTTTTCTCTGGAATATGTTGAAGATTACCCATCTGACTGTATAACTGGACAAAAGTGGTAAAATAAGCCTAGGTTGAAATTATGTTGAATTTTATATGACTTTTTGGGAAAACTGAATCTTATCCAACGTGCAACTGGGAAGCTCTTACACATTTTAAGTAGGAACTTGTCAGTCAGATTTGAATTTTAAGACAATCCTCTTAGAGCAGTCATCAAAGGTGACTGGAAAGCAGGTTTCAAAAGATCATTTCAAGGTTTTAAGCCTGAAAAAAATTATTCTTGTGTTTACATACAGGTCTTTTAGATTTATAAAAATTTCATATTCTTCTGTTGCTAATATTTACAGACAATCGACTATCTGACTTTTGTTGGAATTTTATAGTGACATACTTCTTATACTCAGGATTTGTAGTGGTGTTTTCTGGTTCAGCAAAATACTTAACATTTCTTCTTCTTATTTTACAGCTTTGGACACTTGTTTTAATCTTATGGCCAGTCATTATTTTCATAATTTTGGCTATTACCAGAACAAAATTTCCTCCAACAGCAAAAGCAACCTGTAAGTAAATGAGATTTGTTTGTTCCCCTTATTTTGGATTCTAGTTAAAATTTGTTTTGGTGCAACTCTATTTTGTCATTCTAAAACTTATTTTTTTTTGAATGGTGTTTCTACTGGGAAGTATTTGTGGGAAGTATTTGTGGTTTTCTGCCCTAGTTTTACAAATTGGCCAAAGAGTTGTCTATAATATTTATGGAGACAAATATAAAGTAGGAACCAGAATGTATTTTAATACTCTTAAACTCTTAACTCATTTATTATGCATATCATAAAACACATCATGGCATACACAACACAAATAAGAAGCAGTATCAAGCTAGATCTTTGTTTACTATTTTTTTTTTTTTGACAGGCAGAGTTAGACAGTGAGAGAGAGAGAGAGAGAGAAAGGTCTTCCTTCCATTGGTTCACCCCTCAAGTGGCCGCTACTGCCGGTGCGCTGCGCCGATCCGAAGCCAGGAGCCAGGTGCTTCTCCTGTCTCCCGTGCAGGTGCAGGGCCCAAGAACTTGGGCCATCCTGCACTGCCTTTCCTGGCCACAGCAGAGAGCTGGACTGGAAGAGGAGCAACCAGGACAGAATCCGACGCCCAGACTGGGACTAGAACCCGGAGTGCCGGCGCCGCAGGTGGAGGATTAGCCTAGTGAGCCGCAGCGCCGGCCCTTCCTTTACTTTTGCAATGGAAACTGTAGACTAGTATTTAATCAACTGTAAATGAAATCTAGAGAACTATAAAGATCTCTCCATGGCTGATATTTGAGTGCTATAAATGTGTCAACACATTTAAGATAAAAGAAGATTGTTTTCTAATTAGTGCTGTTTCAATTACATTTCATCATTGCCAAGTTCTGAAGTGGGCAGAATGCCCAACTTGATTCATTATTTTATTTTGGATCCAGAAAGAACATGCAGAAAGTCCTCAGAACTGAGGGAAAAGAGCTTTTTAAGCCTAGTGATTTGACCAATGCTGGGTTTGCTTTTGTTTTTTTCACTGGAGGCAATTTTTTTTTTTTAAGATTTTGTTTACTTATTTGAGAGGTAGAGTTATAGACAGTGAGAGATAGAGAGAGACAGAAATAAAGCTCTTCCATCCATTGATTCACTCCCCAAATGGTTGCAACGGCCAGAGCTGCACTGATCTGGAGCCAGGAGCTTCTTCCAGGTCTCCCATGTGGGTGAGAGGCCCAAGCACTTGGGCCATCTTTGACTGCTTTCCCAGGCCATAGCAGAGAGCTGGATTGAAAGAGGGGCAGCTGGGTCTAGAACCAGTGCCTATATAGGATGCTGGCACTGCAGGTAGAGAATTAACCTATTGTGCCACATTACCGATCCTGCAATCTTTTCTGTAGCGGAGTTATAGTCAAGTTAGATGTTTCATGTCTCACAAAACAGCAAACTCTACAAAAAATTCTTATAAATCTGATTTCTATAAATCAGATTGTATATCAGTTAAAGTATGAAAATTCCCAACATAAAAGAATACACTGCTGAGTTATTTTTAAACAGAGTAATGAACTAGTGACTTTTTAAAATTTATATTTACCCCCAAAAGAAGCATTTTATTTAAGGAATACAGACTTCATGCATTTCATAAATACAACTTTAGGAATATAGTGATTCTTCCCACAGTGCCCACCCTCTCACACTTCTTCATCTCCCCTCTCCTACTCTCATTCTTATTTTTTCACCAAGATCTGTTTCCAGTTTAACTTTATACACATAGGAGTAACAAGTAAAGAGTTAAACAATTTGCATGGGAAAAAAAAAACAAAAAAACAAAACAAAAAAACTTGAACTAATGACTTAAAAATAGATATTTTTTACACACCTGGTCCAAAACATAAGATTAGAGCCATGGCACAATAACTTGAATCATATGTAATAGGATAATTCTAAAGCAAATGTCAACTCAGTGTAAAGCACCTAAACTCTTTTTAAACTTTTTTCATTAACAATAATTATACATATTTATGTATACAATGTTTACTGATAATGCATTTAAACCTTGGATGCTAGAAAAAATAATTCCTTACTTTTGATTAACATCCTATTTCTAAAGGATTTTTGTAGAGTTCATGATGCTGAGTTATTGATGAAATTTTATTAAGTTGCTTAGAAAGACAGCATGGTTCGTACATTGAATATTAGTTCTTTGTAACAGATCAATCTCATTATGTACTGTTGGAATTTGTGTCTTCTTGTATATCTTGGAAATACAGGAATTAAGAAATAATGCTTGGATTTCAAAAGTAGTAATTCAGCACATAAGTAGGAAAAATACTCTGAAATGTTCTGGTTTAAGATACTTCTGAGAGATTTGCTAATGATAGTGATAGAAGAAATTTAGGTGCACCTTTCAACAACTTATTTTTATAAACTTCTTGCTTTTAAGGATTTTTCAGTTACATAAAGTACTTGTGAAATTTCAAGAGAGAAATATAAGTCTGTGAGTGAGAAATGTTCAGACTTTTTTTCTCTTAACTAACTGATGGTACCTGATAACATTTAAGAAATTTATGGTGAAAATCATGGAGAGCTTTTATAATTCCAATACATTGGGAAGAGAATAAAATAGTGGAGAAACAATGTGACATGTGCTCCCAGATCAAATGCAGAGGGCTCTGATGATACACAGCATCTGAAGAGATGCATGACCATTCTTCATTCTGGACCTATTATTATACTCTAATGATAATTAGCTGAGAAACAATTGTGTTTGTGGATAGGAGAGAAAAAAAAACTCATGGGATAGTTAAAAACAGTGGAGGTAGGTTTGCTAATCTCTTAGATCATGTGAGTCTCATTAAAAAGAAAAAAACAGCTTATTGGGGTAGCCATTTGGCGTAGCAGTTAAACAGCTGCTTGGGTACCCCCTTATTGGAGTGTTTGGGTTCAAGTGCTGGCTCCATGCCCCATTCCAGCTCCTTGCTAACACATACCTGGGAGCCAGCAGTTGATGGCTCTAGCAGTTAAGTTTCTGCATCTACACGGAAGATGTAACTTGAGTTTCAAGCATCTAGCTTTGATTTAACCCAGCCTCAGCTGTTGTAGGCATTTGGGAGTGCACAGCCAATGGGAGATCTCTGTATCTCTCTCTCTCTCTCTCTCTCTCTCTCTCTCTCTCTCTCTCTTCTGTCTGTCTGTCTCTTTCAAATAAAATAAAATAAATAAATATTTTAAAATAATTTATTGGCTTATTATCAAAACTAGAAGGAATTCTCTCACTTTACAGATAAGAAATCTGGAACCCAGAGAGATTGTAGTTTGCCAAAATAGCAATCACATGGGATAGAAGAGTAAGGTTTTGAAAACTATTTTCCCTTATTCTTTGTCCATGAGCTTTGTATCATGTCTCATCTTCTCACATATGGATATTTCCTTGGTCTAGTTACTATTATTTAGATAAGTAAGAACTGAATAAAAATTATGCCCAGGGTTTCAATTTTTGTTACAATCAATTTTACACTCAGAGGTGCTGTTCTGCAGATAATTTAGAGCATCTAAAACTATTATAGAAGCAGTTACTTTTTTCATTCATAGTAGATATGGAATAATTTTGACAGTTTGGATTTAAGTAATTTTATTCTGTTTTTTTTATTGTCCTTGTTTTCCTTTGTTTCTCATATTTATTATACTGGAATATTAGAACTGGCTGATAATAAATACTAACAAAAATAAATATTTTTTGACCTCATATACTTAGAGTGGTGGTGACTGTATTATTCATTTTATAGTTGAGAAAACAAATGCACAAAAACACTAATTAACTTGACCAAGACTGTGTAGTTATTAAATGGTGATGTCAGGATTTTAACCCAAGCAGTATGACTCCAGAATCTGGTTTTAAGCTCATGTACTCATATTTCTTATATCTAGTACTCAATATTAATTTTTCATGTCACATCATTTAGATTTATTCAAGAAGAACAATACATTAGAAATTAGGAATATAAGCATCTCTGCTTTCTATCATAAAATCAAGAAATATCATGAACAGGTACATTATAATGTATAAATCATAATTGCCTTCAATATTAGTATTTGATACAGAATGCTACCTCTGTCTGACTGATTTTGCATGTCATTGTAGTTTTAGTATCATAGAAATCAGGCCCAGAGTAAAAGCGTTAAAATATTTTCTGGGTGACAGGGCTACTTGGGCCAAAGAGAATTGAAGATGAAACTAGATTATAGCCCTAGCTGAAACTTGGCCATGGTGAGAATGGGGGTTGTAATCCCATGGGTACATTCTGCTCTGAGCAGAGCTAGGCAGGTCTGCAGGACTTGATAAATCATTTATAAATAATGATTCAAAAGACTCCTTCCATAATCTTTTTGACTAATGGGCATCTGGGGACGTCTGGATTTGGGGTAAGGAAGTCACTACAGCCCCTGCCACTGTGGGTGTTGGTCCAGAGTAAAATATGTATTTTTGGCACCATGTGCGTTTGCCAATTCCCTTTTGTTTTGTGACAACTGGCTTAGGTAAGCAGCCTCTGCAATGATGAATCCCGGGAAGTGAAAGCTTCTTAACCATGCTGGCAGGCTCTGATGCTTCTCGTTGACACAGGCCGGGAATGGGCTGAGGTGCCAAGTTTGAAGTAGTTCCAACCTCTTGCAATCTGTACATGCAATGACTTGTCAGGAGGCAAGCTTAAGCCCCATGCTTCTGAACAAACAAGAAAACATAAAACTCCAAAAAGTGTATTTATACCAAATCCAGATGTGGAATGCAGCAAGGTTATTTTTTGTCTCCTTCTAATACATGCATACCCATAAAAGTCCATAGAAACAGTTCCTAATTTTTTTCCAGAGTAGTAAAACCTTGCCATAATGAGATAAATAGACAAACAAAAATGCATTCATATCAAACAAGGAGTCACATTTCTGTGATGTTAATGAAAGATTTTTGGCTGGTGCCGTGGCTCACTTGGCTAATCCTCCACCTGCGGCGCCAGCACCCCTGGTTCTAGCCTCTGTTGGGGCGCCGGATTCTGTCCCG